TATCCTCTCTGAGATGAGGAATTGCGTAGGGTATTGAAGATGCAGGAACAGAGTGGATTTCTTCTGCAACATTCTGGTTTGTATCTGTTTATTTTCCTTTTTTCTCTTTCTTAGTCTCAGTCATTCTCTATGACTTTCTCTTTCCTTCTTTTTCCCCCCACTTTTTTTTTTTTTTTTTTTTTTTTGCATTTTTACTGAATGCTCAGCTAGAGTTTGAATAAATTCATCATAAGCCTGAAATCTCATTCCAGATTTACAGTAAACAGATCCAAACCCATTATGGAATATATAAAATTATCGTTGTTTTTTTTCTCATACGTATGATTTTACAATATTTGATTGTGAATTTTTCACAGAATCACCAAGGTTGGAGAAGACCATCAAGACCATCCAGTCCAACCATCCACCTGTCACCAACAGCTCTCACTAAATGATGTCCCTCAACACAAAATCCAACATACGCTTCCTGCCATTTTATCTGCAATTCTTCATGGTTTCCCAAGAAATTTTAGAAAGCCCATGGCAGCTACTGAGGATGAAGGCTCATCATAAAGGTACTTCAACTATGTAGGTTTGTTTCTGGAAAGAAATGGAGAAATGCAACTCACTGTTGTAAATTTCACGGGGAAACAAACCATACAACTCCTTAGTTAAGGGCAGTAAAAATGCTCAAAATCAACATATGTATGCAGACTTCCCTCTAGCCACTTTAAGTGAATGATACTGGATATTATTTCATCTGGTAGAATTAACACCCTGTGTAACATGCTTACCCTAATTTTTCTTTTTTCTTAATTTTTCTTTCTGCTTTCTTAAGATTGCTGTGGTACATTGGGTACAGATCATGTATCTAATGTGAAATGTGCTTGCTTGTTCTCTCTCTCAATTATTTCTGAAAAATCATTGCTCTGAACTGTGTTTGTTTCCAGTGTGTTTTACTGGTGGGAAGATGACTGTCTACAAGATTTTCAATTTTATCTAATGGCATTCAGCTCAGAGGCATCGAAATTTCTCACTGGAGCCAATTGCATGTTTCTTCAGTTTGGTTTCCAAAAAAGTTCCTTTTTACAGACAGAAGCCTTACTGGGGAGCTTGACTATTCACTTGTTGCTCTCATATTGGAGAGGGTGTGATGTAGACCTTACCTGCTAATGAGGAATCAGCGATGAGATTTGAGCACTAAGGCAATGTGCTTTCAGTAGTTACTTTTGCTAAGTAGAAGGACTTCTGTTTTCTGAGATATTTTCTTTTTATAAGGTTGTTTTATTGTTGTTGTTGTTTTGTTGCTTTTTTTTTTTTTTGTATACACAGGGAATTACAATAATAGAGCAAAAGGTCAAAAGTATATTGGTTCTCAGTCGTCCCAGTGGTTAATTTTGAATGCAAAGGAAAGATAATCATACACCCGCCAAATAGATGGAGAAATCAGTACGTTTTGTGAAAGGAACTCCCTGAGTACCAAAAGGAAGGTAAAGGACAAGTAAGCATGCATAAAATTCATAAATACATAATAGTTTCTCAAAAGTATCCAACAATGAGTCTAAATTTGCAACTTTCTCACCTGCTGATTTCCTCAACCTTTTTGTCATCTTAGGTTAGATTGCTTTCTTCAAAAACTTCAAAGGCGTATCTTTTGTGGTTCTCCATACAAAACAGTTTTTGTCTCAAAGAAAGGTTTTAGAATTTCTTGTAGTTCTTTTGTTATTCTGTTTCTTAACATGGTCTTTGGGGGGGAAAAAAAAATAGACTAGGTCATCATGATGGGGAGGAGGCAGGATTTTTCAGTGTTAGAAGCTTGGATATTATTCCTTAACTCTTAAATACCTTGTGTCTTGATGGAAGATTATTAGCTACATAATCCTAATTTTAGTTGAGATAGAGTTAATTTTCTTCCTAGTAGATGGTATGGCATTGAATTTGCGATGGATAATATTGATAACACATTGTTTGGTTATTGCTGAGCAGTGATTACACCAAGTCAACGACTTGTCACATTTCTGTGCCAGTGAGGAGCTGGGGATACACAAGGATTGAGAGGGGTCAAGACCAGGCTGACTGACCCAGACTGGCCAAAGGGCTGCCCCATACCATACGGTATCATGCTCAGCAATAGAAGTGGGAGGAGGTGGCCAGTGGGTGGCTGCTGCTGCTGCTTGGAGATTGGCTGGGCATCAGTTGGTGAAAACTGTGTTGTGCAGCACTTGTTAAATTTATTCTTCTTGTTGGGGGTCCCTTCCCCTTCCCCTTCCCCTTCCCCTTCCCCTTCCCCTTCCCCTTCCCCTT